GGGCAGCAGCCCAGCATGGGCAGCCACCTGCACAGCATGCCAGGGGGCCAGCCTCCCACCTCCCCCCTCTCTTCACTGCAGGTCCCACGTGGCTTGAGTTACTTTGTCTCCTTCTTAAATATGTTATTCACAGAGGCACTGATTGTCTCAGCTCTGGCCAGAGACCTGTCCAACCAGTTTTGGAGCCAGAGAATCTTCTCGCATCTCCTTACAGGGGCTACGTCTGCAGCCTCTCCCTGGCTACCAACACCCCACCACATAAACCCAGCACACCCTCATAGGAAAATTGTGTTTCTTGATGTTCAGAGGGAACCTCCTGTGTTTCAGTTTGTGCCCATACACACATACACTTATGTGTGTCTCTTCCCTCAAGATGACGTGACAGCAAGTGTACAAAACTTACCACAGCAGTGTTGCTCAGGCACACTGCAAGGGCAGCTGACCCATCCATACGAGCGGCGGAAGGACCCTTTCACAGTTTTAGTACATATTCTGGTATTAATCAGACATGTACTATATGCCGTTGCAAATACCCTGGGGAGCTGTCGTGTGCTGTCTTCAAAATGTGTTTCTTTCCTTATTTTCATTTAAAGGGAAAAAAAAACCCATCAAACAAACCTTGCTTATCAATCGTCATGAAAGGGACTTAGCCCTGAATTACCCAGGAGCTGCTGTTGGAGACTGCCAGCACCTGCCTATCCAGCCCCCCAAGCACCTTCTGGTGGTGAGCAAGCATAGTTACCACTGCTGTGAGCTGATTTACCCCTTGAGTGAAAAAGGGCACAGGCACAGTAACTACAGAACTTGCTTTCACTGAGGAGAAAGGGGGCAGCAAGGGGACAAGGGGAAGAAGGTGAGTATCTTCTACTGTGCAAGAGAATGAAAAAATTTTTCAGCATCCACTACAGTGGAGACTTAGAGCAGACACTTTAACAGTACCACTTTGCTTGTAGATACTTCAGAATTTTAAAAGACAAGTCAGCTTAAAAATGCCTGTGAGGTGGACGAATTGGATGATAAAGACCTTTGTTGATTTCTGGTGTTTCCTCTCATATTTTTAAGTAGCTTGGAGCATTAACCTGTCCTACAGTTTCACCTGTCCTAGCCTTACAAATATAGAAGAGCAGTCACAGAACAGACTTTAGGTTCTGCTAATGCTGTTGCCTCCTAACTATGAGATGAAGAAAAGTGTTAAGAGTATGAGGGGAGAGTAGCCTATTGCTGACTGAACAGGAATACTGCCACTTGTTTACTCTTAAGCAATAAGTAAACTGATACCCAGACTCTAAATCTGGCCGCCTGCTGTTTTTCACCACAGCATGGGTTCCAACAGCACAACTTTTTACCTTGGATTGGAGAATCTTTTTTCCTTCAGTGTCTAAAATAAGGTACTACATAGCTGGTTTTGATGAATTTTCACTGACAGCTGAGGATTCAAAAAAAAAACCCCACCCTTTAAACTACACATGACAGAATACTGAAATCAATAAACTGCTGCTTAAAAGTAGAAATGGAAAAAGATTAGAAAAAGCTCTGATTTATTAACACCCACTGAAAAATAAATTTATTTCAAGAAAACTATAAACAATATATACACAAGTGTAAAAGGGTTTCTCTTCTTGTTTACAGGAACGTACATTACTTTTGTTGACACTTCCATGGGTTTTGTCATCCCCTACAACTTAGTATCCATGATAATATTACCATCCTTGTCCTTTACTCTTACTCTCCCAGAGACATACTTTGTTTCCTGCTCTCCATTCACGTACACAGTCTTGACCGTACCGTCTGGATACTCCCGTCTCTTGAACTGTGGTGTGTGTAGTTCCCTCTGGCCATTATTGAACTCTATAGTTTTGCTTCCATCTCTGCATTAAATAAATGTATGTAAGTACTTTTAAAAAACAGTCATTGTAAGGACTATACATAGGCTTGAGCATGATCTCCAACAAACATTAAATACACAAGCCTAAATGAAGGAAGAACTTAAAAAACACAGTATTTGTGAAAAACTAGTTTTGTTAAATACCATCCCAGTTGGCTGGTACTCAAAAGCATGTTTCTGCAAAACTGACATCACTTCTTTGTACTTGAGACCCTCTACTGCACTCCTCTGCACTAAATCTATTGCTGCAACAGTCCAGGAAAAGTTTAGAACTTCCATGTTTTGAGCACTATCTCTTATCAGCTGTCAGGCAGACCTGCCTGCCACACCAGCTCAGTTCCCACGTGTTCTCTACAATTATGCACAAATCAGAAAAATCTCTCAGGCTAGGGTATGAGAAAATACACACAGGCATTCAGACTTTATGCTAAAAAAGACTCAAGCTACAAAAGTTTTGTAGACTCAAGCTACAAAAAAAAAAAAAAATCCTGAAATGTCAAACAGTAAATACATGTTCACAGTACAGTATATTCAAATGTAAACTTCTAGAAACTGATCTGTCAGGGTGTAGTGCCCCGTCAGCGAGCCCTAACTGCTCCCTTCCCATCGACACGCGAGGGTACCTGAAGAGGTAAAGCTTACCGCTGAATCCGAACAATAGTACCATCTGGAAAGATACTTTCTTCTTGCCCGTCCGTAAATAAATTTTTAATAGTTTGATCAGGGAAAGTAATTTCTTTCTTGCCATCAGGATAATGCTTCTCTGAAATGTATTTTGAGACAATATGCTTGTTACATAAATACAGGTGTATATACGGGCAGCGATTTTGAGGGTTGGTTGGGTTGGATGATTTCTTTACCTATTTGTCCATTTGAAAACTGCAAGACCTCTAAGCCATCAGAGTATGTAGTATGTGTAGTCTTAGCATCAGCATAATAATAAATCTGCAGAAAACAGTTCAGATTTAACATAACTAGTGAGAAATTTTCTCTCTGTGTGTACAGATGTGTGCATAAGTATGTATAAAAAATGCAGATGTAGAATACTTACCACTGTTTGATCAGGCATAACCTGCTTCACATCCCCATTGAAGAAGGTTATAGTTATGGTCTTCCCATCAGAACCCACTTTTTTCCATGTCCCATTGGGGAAAAATATGAGGTGACAGCCATTTTTCAAAATCTTTTCAACCTAATGAATACATTACAGAGAGGTCAGCATTGAGCCATCACACCCACATGCTTGTTCCTCTTTAACAGCTGTCTTTGGAATTTCAGAGGGCCAAGCTCTCATTTTACCTTTCCATCAGGATAAGCGGTTTCCCTCTGTATCTCTTCACTGTCTGTATATGCAGGTCCAGGTGGCAGCGACACATGAGCTTCATTAGGAGACGTGTCCTGAAATGACAACAACAATCTAAGCATAAACTCAAGTGGAGCTTTGTCTTTATACACGGGTTTTTTTCCTAGGCTGACAGGTATTTTTGGAAAACAAGCATCAGAGGAGGAAGACAAGTGTAGGAAGGCATAAACACAATCTGGGTTTTATGCAACTCCTAGCACCATTCAAGTGGTAAGAGAGGGTAAGGCTCAGCAATAACTGTTGTCAGCTGTAGCCTGGACTGAAGTGGAATTCAGCGGTGTGTTGTAGCATGGTGGTCAACTGCTTTAAGTCATCCATATTAAGGTATGAAACAGTTGATGAAGTTTCGTAAAGCCTGAATGCTACCTACAGCAATTAATGTCAGAATTAATTCAACTATTTACAAGATTCTTGAACAGTTGCCCTACATGGAGCTTATAAGCATCTTTTTCCCCTCTCTTAAAAGGTAAAACATTTTGCAAAGTTCAAGGGAGTGGGAGATTATTAATTTATTTTCTTTCCTCAGCTAAAGAATCTTGCAACTACTAGACACAGGTAGAACACTCTGCATTGACTACTACACAGCCATTTTCTGGTATGACAACAAAATTGCAGTTGAAGAACATAAGAAGGTGAGTCAACAGCTTCACCAGACACCCTCCAGATACTCATTTAAGTACAAGTAACTACTGTTTTATTTTAGGCATTTTCCTCCCTTTTAAAAATCAAATCAAGATACAGGACTTACTACCATGTAAGTCCTAGAAGAATCTTCTAATGCTGTCATTGTCTCAGAGTTGCTTCTGTCACGAGCAGGTCCCGATGCAGGTGGTCTAGAAAGCTTTCCTACTCGGATACATGTAATACAGTTAATTTCAATAGTGAAATTGAATTACAGTTTAAACGTTACAATTATATATGAGGTCAAGCTGTACAGGACACCTGCGTTTCTTAAGTGCAGTAGAAACAGAACGCAGTACATTTATGAAAAGAATCAGCGTCAGTCAGCTCCCTCAGGTATGTTATTGCTTCATGTGTCACCAAGAAGCTACAACTGAAGATTTACAAAGGATTCCCCCACCCCATACCCCCACCAGGGATCTAGACAACGGTATTAGTTATGCTTTATAACAAATAAAGGAAGACTAATACAACCTTTTAACAGGGACCGATTGGCAGACTTTTCCCATGTCTCTCCTAGCACACCAGAAAGATTACCAAAATAAAACCACAAGGGCTTAAATTCTGGAACATACTCCTCTAACAGAGGACACGACGATTGCTTGAGCTGTCAGAGGTGTCAGGAAAGTACCCTCCAGTTGCTTTCCATATGTGGTTATTCACTAGGAAGGGGTATAGCTGCCAACAGCATTTGCTCCTAACCGTGAACAAGGAACAGCTGCTACAGCAGTGCCCATATGATTACAGATCCCAATAACAGAAGGTTCTGAAGCTCTGATAGCAGTTTCGATGCTATCAACATAGTCATCTAATCAACATCTGCAGCTTGGAGAACATCAATGACGAATACCATTCTGGATTACAGAACACAGCTTCTGGTATTCTTCAGGCCACCAAACCTGACCAGAAGCATTTTCGCTCTGAGAATGGTCTCATCACAGAGAGTGGTCTCATCACAGCTTTCTCCAGAATCTTACCCTGCGAGGTACTGATCCATATGCTCAAGTCCATTCCAACTATTCTCTACCTGCTTTTGAGGTGGTGAAGCATTCTTTTTAATACAAGCAAAAATCCACATAAATTTTCTTTTAAATAGTTAACAGAATTCTCTGATTAAACAAACATTTGTACCTTTTGCCTGTGAATAACTTTTGCCATTTATCTTGCTACACTTCTGTGCTGGAAGAAGCGGAGATGCAGTTTGACTTTTTGGGCCTCTATTTGGTAGACACTAAAAGAAAGGAAGTTATTTGTGGTTTACGTGACATTTATTCATAACTGTTCACAGAGCGGCAACAAAACGTATACACTATGTGACATGAAACTTACTGGAAGCTTTCTTCACTAACTGTACATTTTTGAGACTTGGTCAGAAGAAGGGCTTGCGTGATGTAGCTCAAGCCATACTTTGGAACTCTTCCTGTCTGCTGCCTTGCTACCAACAACTGAAGAATGTTAATTTGGTGCAAGCAATCCAGAATAATAGTTACAGTTTCAAAACTAAATATAACTGCTTTAGACAATGGTGAACTGCCTGGTTTGCCTGGTTGATCCTTAAGGTGCAGAGGTTCACAGGTTAGATCCCATCTATGATTTTTCTCTTACATAATTTTAAATTTCTAATATAAGTTCCTCAACAGAATGAATGCTGCATGCAGTGAACATTCACTTTTGGAGAGAATGTGACATTAACAAAATTCTGCACCTGTCATCACTAGTGGAGTCCCAAGATTAGTAAACTAAAAATAAACATCTGAGTTGCAGCTATTGGATTCCAAGTTTATGATCCAAAACTCAAGAGTATTCACACAGATGAATTTAAAACATCAAGATTAATAACTTACAGGTTCTGCTCTTTTTAGAGTCATCCCAGAATTGTCTATTTTCCTCTTGCTTCCAGCAGCTTCTACTTTCTTCCAGGCTTCTAGACGAAACCTCTCCATAATTCTGACTTCCTCTTTTAGCTCCATGTTCTCATTTACTAAAGCTTCTATTTGATCTCTCAGGCGTCGCTGGGTGGTTGACCATTTTGCCTCTTTTCTTTTTAAATCTTCCTGTAACTCTGCAATCTGCTGTTTTAAAGCCTTAGAAAAATGCAGGTTCATAGAGAGCTTTCATTTTTTTAATATAGCGAAAGATTTTCATGTTCTAATAGAAACACAAGCACACAAGAAAAGGCACAAGAGTGGCCAAAACAGTAAGATCAGCTTAATGGGGCGGAGTGAAAGGTAGGAGCTTTCTTCCCTGGAAGAGATATTATTTACTTTAGACTACCAACTTTATAAGCTCATCTTCAGTCACAGGAAGTTCCCTTGCCCCCTTGGCATCCTTTGCACTTCATAGATTGGCCAGTACAAACACACTTGAGACAGAAGCATGAAATCTTTAAGGCTACCCTGGAGAGGACCCTTGAAAAACAGGGAAATAGGGAGGACACAATCACAAAAACCACATGTGAATCTGCCTAGCCAGTTTAGCAAACGTTCCTTCAATCTGTTGAAGTAAGGAAAATTTGTAGGGAAGGAGGAGGGAAATCCATGTGTGATGTTTAATACGACTTGTTTGTACCTCTCATGTACCATACACCCTGACAATGAAGGAACAAACAGATCCTGTTTCTTACATCTCCGGTACCTAAGGACCTAAAAGTATAACAAAACGTAACTTTGAAAATTGTGGAAGATTACTACATTTACTGTGCAACAGTTACAGACAGAATAAAACTCACATACCGTTATAGTTTGCATCTTGATCCACTATCACGAATAAAAACTTACAACTCAACATCAGCTACAGTAATTTTGTAGCAAAGTTGAAGATCTTTCTGCCATAGTCACGAGCAGATTTTAGTGTGGAAACGTGACAAAAAGATTTGCTCAGAACAACATTGTGAAGACTGTAGTTCCTTCCTCAATTAGGCCATGTCTGCTAACATCCCATCTTGAAATCACTTGCAATCTTTCAGTTAAGTTAGAATTTAGTTCTTGACTGCTTTTAAAAGAATTTATGTGTTCCTGTATGGACTAGAAGAATAACATATTTTTATACCTGAATTTCATCACGTTCTTTTTTATCTGGAATTGCTCTAGCTTCTGTGGTATATTTTTCAAAAACTTTACGTTCCTTTTGCAGTTTTTTCATTTCCTTCTTTTTATATTCTTCTATTTCAGCCAGTTCTTGGGCTTTCTGCTGTTGAAAGTCTGCAATTTCTTTCCTATAATTATGAAACAAAGTTGTTGTTTTAGCTCAAAACTACTTCAAGTCTGGATTTTAAGGAAGAAAATTAACACACTGAATTCTGTGGTCTGCTTCCAATCCAGCATCTGTTCTCTCCAGGAAGACTTACCTATAAATGGTATTATTTTTTTAAGGAGGAAGAATTGTCACACAGCTAGTGTTTGAACTCTATCGATTTCTGGTTTTGTATCTTCTAGTCACAAAAGTTATCCTGAATTTTAGCTTTGGCTAAAATCTTCCAACATTCTTCAAACCAGTAGAACACCATTCCCCAAAAAGTACCAGGGAAAATGCTAACTGCAGGAGGTCACAAATTAAACATTAGCCAACAAGATGCTGTTTCCAAACAAAACCAGTGGCTGTAGTAGGAACAGGTGTGCCACATTTAAGTCACCAGATACAATTACTCTGCTCTGCATGTTGCTTATAAGTCCCTCAGTTCGAATGAAAATATGCTCCGAACCAAAGGAAGAGCATCAGTGATGTCAGCATAAAGATCAGTTTTTAGGATTGTGTGTTGTGGTTTAGCCCCAGCCAGCAAGTAAGCACCACACACAGCCACTGGCTCACTCCTCCCACCTGGTGGGATGGACAGGAGAAGGCTCAAGGGTCGAGACAAGGACAGGGAGGGATCACTCACCAATTACAGTCACAGGCAAAACAGACTTGACTTGGGGTGGGGGGGATCAATTTAATTGTTACCAGTTACTTCAGAGAAGACAATGAGAAACAAAGGCAGATCTTAAAAACACCTTCCCTCCACCCCTCCCTTCCTCCCAGTTCTACCTCCTCCCTACAGCAGTGCAGGGCAACGAGGAATGGGGATTGCAGGTCAGTTCATTGTATGTTGTTTCTGCTGCTCCTTCCTTAAAGGGGGAGGACTCCTTACACTCTTCCCCTGCTCCAATGTGGGGCCCCTTCCCATAGGACACAGCTCTCCATGAACTTCTCCAACATGAGTCATTCCCGTAGGATGCAATCCTTACCCATGAGATTCCTCCAGCATGGGCTTTTCCCACAGAGTCACGGCTTCTTAGGGTGTAGCCACACACTCCAGTGTGGAGTCCCTTCCCAAGAACTGCAGATGCGTCTTTGCTCCACTGTCAGTCTACAGCAGTGTAGGAGTCCCTCCCATGGAGACAGTCCTCTACGAACTCCTCCAGGCACAGGCATCTCTGCTTCAGCATGGGGTCCTCTCCCACAGGCTGTGGGTGGATCTCTGCTCCACCCTTAATCATCATGGGCTGCAGGGAGGCCGCCTGCTGTCTCACCACGGGCTGCAGGGGAACCTCAGCTCCAGCACACCTCCTCCCGCTCCATCTTCGCTGACCTTAGTGTTTGTATAATTATTTCTCTCACATCTCATTCCTCTTTGCTGCAGCCATGCTGGACCTGATGAATCTTGGCTGTTCCAGCAGGATGAACTTTGCCCAGCGGGCACCCTGGGAGAAGGGCACGTCAGAGGTCTCCCAGCCATACCACTGCAGCTGCCACCAGTTGAATGGTGGTGGCCAGTACAGACAGCTGTCCATGTGGGAGGTTGGGGGCCAGGCCCCCTCAGCTTCTCCTCCCTCTCAGCTGCAGGTCCCACATGGCACGGGTTTCTTTGTCCTTTCTTAAATATGTTATTCACAGAGGCACTGATTGGCTCAGCACTGGACAGAGGTGGGTTCAACGTGTAACGGGGGAAGCTTCCAGCAGTTTCTTTCTTACTTGCTTCTTACTTTCCTGTAGCCCCTCCCTTGTTACCAAAACCTCACCACATAAAAGCAACGCAGAACAAAAATCATAGTGAACTAGCAGGGGCTCTTAATATTACAATTTGTCTGTGAGTAATAATTACAGTTTAATATGTACATAGAACAACAACCAGTTTCTTGACCTATGTCTCCACTGTAACTGAAATACACCAATTACTTACCTGTGCTGTCGGTAACTGGACATTATGACAGTCTGGAACTTGCTGTGTAAGTGAATGCACCAAGATGTTTCAATTAAAAATTACCTGATATTTGCCAAGGCATGCTCTCTTTCTTCACGGAGTTTAGTTAGAGTTGCGTTTTCAGCTCTGAATCTCGCTATTTCAGTTTCCAGTTCAATGAGTCTCTCCCTCAGTACCTGTGATCGAACGCTGTTTCCTGTCAAAGAACAGCCAGATGCAAGTTATCTAAGTGGCACACATAATTATGACTGCAGTAAACAATTATCCCACACCAGTTAAGAAAAAAAAAATAATAAAATCAAGTGATACTATTTTAGGGATAGCAGTAGTATTGCAAAAAAATTCCGCTATTCAAATAACACAGAAGTGACATTTTAAAGCACTCTGCACTATCTACTCAAGTACCTCAAATATCTATCATCTTTGTAGAACTAAATATATATTAGAAATTGGAACGTGAAGGGCTTCAGGTCAAGCTAGAGAAACTAAATGAAAGTATAAGGGCCAAGCATCAAACCGGAAAGTTTATGCTTGAAGTCGGATCACTGGGCTGAGGCCAATGGCATGAGC